CGCCCATTGCGCAACTGCTACAATAACATTACAATTGTCTGGATAATGCTATGACGTCATGAATCCTTCAAACAGAAATAAAATAACAAGCAAAATACTTTTTTTGATTAAGTGATACGTTTGCTTGTAAGGTTATTAATTGAGAGCTAAGAATAATCTCTTATTTATTCGTTTTGTAAATTAAATTTCTTACAACAAAGTCGATGTAAAAGTGCTACAAATAGAAATGTACGTGATATGTACACTTACTGTAAACACGTCCAATTATTATGGTCGTGATACTACCTTCGTGATGTTACTGTTCCAGAATAAAATGTTGTCATTGCTTTACATAGCAACAGGGGGGGAAAAAGAAAAACATGTACATGCTCTTGTCTTACAAATAAAAATGTGCATGCTTTCACAACGCATCTTCATCGAACCCAAGTTTTCTGTGCTATTGTCTTTAACTTACCCATTCTCCTACATGATTGTAATAAAACAGAATGGGAAATAATGATTAATGTATTTCCGGAAAGATTCTTAGCTTCTTCAGCTACTTAATGTTGACATTTTAGGGGCGGGGTGATGGATGGACAGGTCAGTACAGGTGCATTTTTGTTGACAGGGAGTAAACATAAAAAGTAAGCACGTCTACCAAACAGTATCCTAAACACGTTGTTACCCGTTTTAACAACTTCGCTTGACGTGGGCCAGCTATTTAAAACAACACAATATTATGGTTCTTGCAGAAAGATTATAATTACGCCTTACGCCATAGATATTAACTGTTAGGGTGGAATGGACACTCTAGCGCGTGTAAGTTGAGATGCAGTTTGGACGAAATAGGAAGGTTTTATTTCAGTCATGTGACGACATCCGCTGATGAAATTCTTTGACGCCAAGCACTCGAAGACTTTAATTTTCTTTTAGCAAATATGATTGGGGTGGGGCGGAGATTGGTAATTATAGTTGACGCTGATAACACCGGCTGTGTGGGTTTATTGCAAAAGCTGTCTTTGTTTTGTTGTTGTTGTTGTTTTTGTTGCTGTTGTTGTTTCTGTGGTTGTTTTTTGTTCTGTCTACTCGCTTTATTTTCTCTTATCTCCGATTTTGATGTCATACTCGTATTATGATGGATACCTATCGTGAGAAGGAGTGACGCAAGAACGGGAGAACAAATTCAGGGTGACATGTGACAGGT